CAGGGACCACATGGCTACCCGGGCAGCTGCAACTTGACTAAGAGCTAAGGAGACCAGTGACCGAGGCCCGGAGGTGGGGAAGAAAGTGGTCTAGATAGCGCAGGGGTTACTGGGAGGAGGCCTGGCCATTACCTCTATCAGGCAGTCTTCTTACTGTTTTAATGAGTTTATGGGCTCAAATGTTCATGAACCCAAAACAAGTGGCAACAGCCAGTCTGCTATTTCCCACCAGGCCCTCAGGGGGAGAGCGAGCCTGGTCTCGGGCTTGCTCCGCATGGCCTCTGGCCTAGCACCCGCTGTCAGAGTGAGCCGGTGGGGTGGACATCCCGGGGCTAAAAGGACTGCCATCCTGAGTGTTCATCTGCCAGGAGCCCACCCGCCCGGTCAGGCAAGATGCCCCACCTGAGATGTGTTAAATCCAGTCCTTAGGACGAAGGCCACGCACCCACTGTCGACCGCTGTGGAAACAAGCAGAGGCAGTGTCATTGTGTCTATCTGTCAGGACTCCCTCACAGCCAAGCAGACATGGAGGTGGGGCCAGGACACCCCCGAAACCCCCAAGGCACCTACGCTTCAGGCCTGTGGTGGCCTTCTGTGGGGGGATGTGCTGCACCACCTTGGTGCCCCCGAAGATGACGTGGAGCCGGGAGTCGGCCTGCAGGTCCAGCACCCGGTCGGGGTTGAGGTCTTCAATGGGCTCCTGGGGAAGAGGGAGGACAGTGAAGCCAATGGTCAGTCCCACCTCGGGCTCCTCCTCCACCCCGTCTCCGGAGAGCTGAGCCCTGGGGCTGGAGGGGCCCACCTGCTCCTCACCTGGCCCAGCAAATCTCACCTGTTCTCCAGCTGCACGCTCTTCGACTCCCTGTGACCCTGCACCTGGCCTCTCCCAGAAATCACACCCTCCCCATTTTTCAGTCCACCTCGGGCTGGTATCTCAGGGCACCTAGATGTCCCAACACTCTGGGACTCTCCCCTCTCCACCACCACCCCATTTCCCTTTGTTCAGAGCACGGAGATCAACAGCTCTGCCCATATGCTGCACCCACTCTGCCCCCTCCAGCCTCCTGGCCAGTTTCCATCCCTCCTCCGTGGGTGCCTGGGCAAGCTCCTGGCACTCTCCTGGATGGTGGCCCCTTCAAGAATGGTCCACAGTGCACCTGAGTGGACTGAGGTCTCCCCTTCCCCACACCTTCATCTGCGGCACCGACTCCCCTGTGAGCATGGCCTCGTCCACGATGCAGCGGCCCCGAAGCAGCAGCACATCACATGGCACCAGGTTATCCTGTGGCGAGCGACCTGTGGGTAGCACCAGAGGGTCAGGCAGAAGCCACGGCTAAGCTGCCACCAGGAAAGAGCAGAACTGGGCCTCACCGATGGAGACAATGTCCCCGGGAACAATGTCGTCGCTGGCGATGGGCCTCCACTTGCGGCTTCGGTAGACCTGAGGGGGGTGGGGCACGGTCAGCTCTGGGGACACGCCTGCACCAGGCCCGCCAAGACCCCTGGGACCCTGCTGGCCACACCTGGATTGTGTGGGGCTTGTTGCCCATCTTCCGGATCTCGGACATGTTGCGCATCTGCTGCTGCACCAGGGAGGCCTCGAAGGCCACCAGCATGGAGAGCGTGAAGACGCTGTAGTACCAGTACTCATCCAGGCACCAGAGCCCCACGCAGAACACCTGCCCAGAAACGTGATGAGGATGCCTGCTGAGGCCTGGACCCACCCCGAGGGCCATTCCACCCTGGACTTTGACCCACAGGACAAGGGAGTTTCGGGTTTGGAAGTGGACACAGGTCGCACTGGCTGTGTGTGCCCTAAGGGATGGGGTAGGAAGGGGCGCTGGAGCTGCTGTTTTACCTGGAACACGAAGAAAGGCGCTGTGGCTCTCTCCTTGAACAGCTCTGTGAAGTCAGGCACCACCATCTCAGCCCTGCAAAAGAACAGGCCCCAGACCCTGGTCACGGCGGGAGGCCTCGGAGGCCCCTCCTGACACCTCGACCGGAGGCACTGCAGCCTCCTCAGGAAACGAGAAGCCCCGGCAAACTTCTAGACGATAGGACTCTCCATTCAATGATGGCTCTCCTCCCTGTCTGGGGCAGCATGCTGACAACCCCAGCCCGCTGCTCTGCAAAGCCGATGAAGCTTCTGAATTGGCAATAAGCTCTTCCTGCAGCACCCCCACCCGAATGGGGGCTGTGAGATGAGAACCCATCATCTGGGCGGCAGACAAAGCCAGTGGAGAAGGAACCTCTGACTGGGGCAGGAGCCCTGAAGCTGAAGGTGCACAGAGGAGGCCTGGCAGCCAGCTGCCTCTGAGCCCCTGGGGTCTGAGCTCGTCCCACTGTGGAGAGAGGAAGTCTGGAGCCAGATTTCCCCCAAACTCCCTGAAAAGCCTCAGAAATGTGACAAAGGGGGGGGGGAGGGGAGGGGACGGGGCGCGCTAAGGGTGTGCAGTATGGGATGTAGTGGGCTCCTGAATGTGGAATATGATAAAGGGACCACAGTGGCTTCACAGTGATAAAGATAAACTAAGAGTCACCCTGTATTGTGTCTGCTGTCTTTCAGGGAGCCTGGGCCTGGGGGTGGGGAGTGAGGACCAGTAAATATTTCTTATAAATCTTCCCATTAGACTGACAGTTGTGGTAAACCACCAGCCAGAAAGGATCCTGAGAGGTTCTGAGGGGCTCTGACGCTCAGCTCTGCCCTCTCCCAGGCATGCGCCAGCACTGGCCGTTTTGGTGAAGATTAAAGTGTGTACAGAGCACCCGCTATTCTACACAGTACAAGGAAGAGCTATCCTGATCACTGACTTCTTTTTTACCACCATTCTTTTAGTGCCAGGATATGAGGAGACAGGCAAGAAAATACTTTTAAAGAAAGAATTTAAGCCCAGCAGGTGTGGCCCAGTGACTGCGCATCTACCTCTAAGCCAGGAAGTCCAGGTTCAATTCCTGGTCAGGGCACATGCCGCATTGCAGGCTTGATCCCCAGTAGATGGTGTGTAGGAGGCAGCCGATCAAAGATTTTCTCTCATCATCAATGTTTATATTTCTTTCTCCATTTTTTTTTTTTTTTTAAAGAAAGAATTTAAAATGAACTGGGGAATTATAAAAACAAGACAAGGATGAATAGCCAACTCATATCCCATGGCCAGGCTCTTCCCCGAAACCCCACCAGGAGCTTCCTGTCAGCAAACAAGTTCAGGGGAGACTTAGAGAAGAGCAGGTTTCTCAAAGGGGGCCGCTTTCACCCGGGATGCTCTGCTGAAAAGGTGGACTCCTCCATCCCAGACACCCCAACCCGGGAATTCGAAGGGGCGGAGACAGGCCACCAGCTGGGGCAGGGCAAGGCCCATGACCTCAGGCAGAGGCCCAGCCCTGTCAGCAGGAGGGACACATGGGGATGTTCAGGACTCACTTGTTACTCCCAAACTTCTTCTCTGCTGCGCGGATGTCCGAGTCCTCCTGAAACCCTTTGCTGCCCTGGTAGTAAGAGAAGGGGTTTCCCACAGGAAAGGCCACGGGCAGGAAGCGCTTCTTCTCCTGGGCGTCGTAGGAATACTTGATCTTCTGGAATTCGAAGGACAGCACCTCCTGCCCGTCCTCGCCCTGTGGGAGAAGGCGATCTGTGGCAGAGGCCCCTGACCTGGGATGCCAGTGCCTGGGAATCTCACCCCAGACCGGCACTGAGCAGGCTGGCCGGTGGTCCCTACCTCGTCTCGGTGCAGGGCCACGAGCTCAGTGGAGCCATTGTTGGGGGTCGGGACCACCTTCACGAAGGTCGCTTTGCTGGGGTCGTACTCCTGTGAGAGGCAAAGTGATGCTGCTGAGTCCTTCTCAACCACTGTAGGAGGAACGCTGTCCGGCAACAGGTGCACCAAGGCCTGTCACAGCTCACCGTTCTAATGTTGCTTGGCTTCCACCCCTCACCCCATTAATATTCTTTAAAAAATACCCACCTTTAACTTGATTTCAGAAAGGAATGGAGAGAGCAAGACAGAAACATCAATGATGAGAGTCATTGATCTGGCTGCCTCCTGCATGCCCTCCACTGGGGATCGAGCCTGCAACCTGGGCATGTGTCCTGACCTTGAACTAAACTGTGAACTCCTGGTTCATAGGTCGACACTCAACCGCTGAGCAACACTGGCCAGGTTCCATTATTATTATTAAAAAAAAAATCCTCACTGGACGGTATTTCCCCATTAATTTTTGGAAAGAGTGGAAGACAGAGGGAAAGACAGACAGAAATGTCGATGTGAGAGAAACACATCGATTGGTTGCCTCCTACACACACAAACCAGGGCCTGAGCTGGGAGGAGCCCGCAACCTATGTACGTGCCCATGATCAGAATCAAACCGGGGACCCTTTGGTCCACAGGCTGATGTTCTGTCTACTAAGCCAAACCGGCTAGGGCCCCATTACTCTTCCTGCTGTGACCCCAGCAGGGAGGAGCAATGAGGCTGGAGGGCTCGTCCTTGTTCAACCAAGGAGCTTGCTGGTGTGTGCTGTTCTCTGTCCAGGATATGTGGTCACAGCTTTCGGACCTTTGCTCATATGTTATCTCCTCAGGAGGCCACACTTGAGTGCCCATGTGAAGTTCCTATCTTTGTTCCTATCTCATTTCTATTTTCCCTCTTTGGCACTGACTGCTGAGTACAGGTCTCCCCCACAAACCCTATGAATGCACTTTTCCTCAGCACTTAAGACCGGGAAGCGCCAAATGGAGCTCAATTAGCACTCCTTCAGCATGAGCTGCATCCATCCCACTGCTGCTCTGCCCGTGTGTGAGGGAGGGAGGGAGAGAGGCACAGCAGTGACTGTGAAAAACAAGCCATGCCCCTCAGAGAGCTCCTGGGCAGTGGAAGCAGACAGACAAGAACAACACATTATCTACGAACCCTGGTAACGCCGTGGGAGAAAAGTACCAAGTGCCACAGGCGCAGGCCCCATACCAGGGGCTCTGCAGACACTATGCTTCTCACCATGGCACCCTGAGGTAGGTGTTACGGTTCTCACTTTACAGAAGGGAAACCGAAACCCGGAGAGCAGAAGCACTGGTGTCTGAGATCTCTGATGCAAACCCAGATCTTACTGTCCTAACCCCATCGCTGCTTAGCTCCGCCCTGTTCTCCAAAGGAGGCTGCCACACTTTTAAGCCACAGGCCAAAAGGCGGCTGGAAGTTCGGATGTGTGTTTGTCAAAACTCCCCGTAATCCCCTCCATCTTTCTGTCCCTCGCTGGGGTCTTCCATGGAAAAGGCTCAACTCTACCAAGCCCCAAAGCTTGAGCCCCTCCTCCCTGGGGTAAGGCTTGAGGGGTAAGGGAGGTGCCACTCTCAGAGGAGAGTGAGGAGTCAGCCCACATTCGAAGTCAAAGAGGGGGCCCCTGCCTCTTTCTGCAGCCCTGGGTGCTGCTCGCTCTCCCTCTTCTCTCAGCAGACACACACCTGGAGGCAGAGTGGAGGCTGGCTGGAGGCCGACCTCCACCCACTGCTCCCAACCCGCGGGGTCACCCAGGCAGGCCCGGGGACATCAACTGCTGGCCCAGAGCAGCTCTCCCTCATCCCCATATTGGGGCTACTGGTCACACCCTCGCCTTTCAGATGGACGGAAAGGGACCCCAAACAGTGAAGTCACTTGCTCACCAATAGCTCTTTTAAGCTCTGCTATTAACTGCATTTCAAGCTGGTTTTGGTGGCAGTCCTGGAGGCCTCTGGGCACTGGACAGCAGGGCTGATGTTTCCAAACCAACAGAAAAACCCACCTGGCAGGTCTCACCTCACATTTTGAAAACAAAACCACGGTGGGAGGAAGGCAGGATTGTTTTCGGGAGAAACAACCGAGTACTAGCTAGGATGGGAACTATCGAACAGCGACATATGTTGGGCCCTGCGCTCTGCTTTTTACAGGTATTACCTTATGGAATCCATATGACAATCCCGGGGAGGAATCCCAAAGAAAGGAAGTACGTGTGCTAGAGTCGCACAGTAAGTCCTTAACGCCCTCCACCCCCCACCCCCCAATTATGCCAGTGTCAAAGAGCTAGGGCGCCGCTGGGGACCCAGCCCAGCAGATGGGAGGCCCGGGCCGGATGGGGGTCGACAGGAACGCCGGCTGCGACCCGCCAGGAGACCCGCCGCGGTGGAGGTCGGGCTGCTGCCCGCACTTACCGGGGTGCAGGTGAGCGCGCAGTGAGCGTGCACGGACCAGTGCCCCGAGAGGACGGTGAGCGCGTGCGCGAGGCAGATGGCAGCGAGCACGAGCTGCGCGGCCTCGGGGACCTGCGTCCAGCTGCTGCCCCAGCCCCAGCAGCCGGCGGCCAAGGCGCCCAGCCAGGCCGGGTACAGCAGCCCGGCGAACGGCAGCACCGTGAGGCGCCGCGGGAGCGCCAGCCGCCGGCACGGCCATACGGCGGCCACCAGCTCGTCGCCGCTCGCTATGAGCGCTGGCCCGGCGGCAAGGGGCGTGCGCGGCTGCGGCGTGGGCCTGGGCTGTCCTTCGGGCCGATCCGCGCCAGACCGGGCCCCACTAGGCAGCGCGTTGCCCGCCGCCGCCGCCGCCATCTTTCCTAGCGCCGCACTCGCTTCCGGGCGGAGGCCCGCCTCACTTTCGAAGTTTTACTTCCGGTGAACCCTGGGCGCCGCCATGGCAGCCGGAAGTACTAAGAGCCAGGGCAGCCTAAGGGGCTAGGTCCCGAAGGGGCTGTTCGGGGTGCCGCCATGACAGGCTTGGCCGGAAGGAGAGGCAGGGCGCCGCCATGACAGAGAGGAATATGAAAGGGCTGGGGCGCCGGCCGGCCCTGCCACGCCTGACTGAGACCGGAAAAGACGAGGCTGGGCGGGCTGGCGCCAACGGGACCACCTAACGTGGGAGCGGCCGGCCCTCCGGGGAGACTGCACCGACAGCGGGCAGTCTGGGTAACCAGCGCGGGGGAAGCCGGGAGGTAGCTGGGGAGGCGGGGCTTGTTAGGGGGCGGGGCTTGGGAGGGTGGGTCCTAGGTAGGTCACCTGGGGCCGGGAGGCTTGTCTATTGGGGTGCTGGGCAGGGTTGCGGGTTGCAGAGCTAGCTCAGGACACGCCATGCTGGACAGGAGCCATCATGTAATAGATAACACACACACACACACACACACACACACACACACACACACGTACACACAGTTACTATTTTAAAAATATGAAAAATTGGTGTTTATTTACTCTCTCGCTATCCTTTGAACAGATCCACAATAGAACTACTTAACAGTGACAATTAGTAATTATAGTAGGATTAATTAAATAATGCATAGGAGGAAAAAGTAGAATTATTATTATTATTTTAAAATATATTTTATTGATTTTTTTATAGAGGAAGGGAGAAGGAAAAAGAGCCAGAAACATCGATGAGAGAGAAACATTGATCAGCTGCCTCCTGCACACCCCCCATTGGGGATGTGTCCGAAACCAAGATACATGCCCTTGACCTGAATTGAACTTGGGACCCTTCAGTCCTCAGGCTGACGCTCTATCCACTGAGCCAAATCAGCTAGGGCTATATAATAATTATTATTTTTAAAAAATCAGACATACAGAGTTTTTATGTAGACAAGTTATTTCCATACTTTTCCTATTTTCTGTCCTGGAACACAGGACCTGACTCAGGTGCTCCATAATTACTCCCTAAAAATATTGTACTTGGGAAATGCCAAGATAATGACTTCTACTGGAATTCACACACACACATTCCCCTCCCCCCCTCCAGTATTAAATCTTAACAAAATTTATTTTGGTCTAACAGCAAGGGTGGGGGGAGGAATGTCTCAGTTTGGGGTTGACTTTTATTAGGGATAGAACCATGAGAACAGCACTGGTACCATTTCTCATTTGGCCAAAAGAGGGCAGTGTGTGGCTGCTCATGACAATTACACTGTTTCTCCACGTTCCCTTTAGTACATTGTGGCTGTCTAGTGAAAACATAGTGACATCTTGGTTGTAGTACTATGCATTATGTGTTCGTGGTAATATTGGTGTAAACATATTGACATTGTTGACAGTTATATAAAAGTATAGCAGATACATTATGTATAATACAAAACTCTTAATAAAGGATCATGTTACTGGTTCATGTATTTACTGTACTATAATTTTATTATTAGTTTAGAGTGTACTCTTTCTACTTATGAAGAAAAAAGTTTGCTGTAAAGCAGTATGCTATGCTATGCCTCATACATCCTGTAAACTTGGAGAGTATTATGCTAACCAAACTAAGCAAGTCAGAGAAATACCAGTATCGCAGATCTCACTTATATGTGGAATCTAATGAACAGAATAGACCCAGAAGCATAGAAGCATGGCACAGACTGACATACCTCAGAGGGAAGCGGGGTGGGGGGATGGGAAGAGGTTAACCAAATAACATATGCATATATACACACCCCATGGATACAGATAATAGTGTGGTGAAGGCCTGGGATGGAGGGAGCAATAGGGGAAAATGGGGGATATCTGTAATATTCTCAACAATAAAGATAAATTTAAAAAAGGAAATAAAGATATTTCTAGAAATATATATATATATATATATATATATATATATATATTTTTTTTTTTTTTTTTACCTGAGTTGTAATTTAGGGTAAAGGGAAATACACATAATAAGTGCATTTCAATTTGTAATATGCTGATTTTTTAAAAAAGTAGTTTTATAGCCCTAACTGGATTGGCTCAGTGGATAGAGCATCAGCCTGCAGACTGAAGGGTCCCAGGTTCGAATCCAGTTAAGGGCATGTATTTTGGCTGCGGGCACATCCCCAGTAGGAGGTGTGCAGGAGGCAGCTGATCAAAGTTACTCTCTCATCTAGGTTTCTAACTCTCTATCCCTCTCCCTTCCTCTGTAAAAAAATTATTAAATTTTAAAAAAGTATTCTTGTAATAAAGAGGAAATTCAAAACAGAAAACACCAAAAATACCCCAGGATGCTGTGTTGTACCTCATACATCTTGTGTTTACTGCCTCTTGATTGCATTAGTTTCTCTTGTGCTTCATTTAATATCATGATGTTATAAATAGTAACATGTTTCATGTTTAGGATTTTAGAAGTTTAGGGGTTTAAGGGTTTGAGGTTTAGGGCTTGGGGATAGGGTGCTAGGGGTTAGGGTTAAGGTTGGAGGTTAGGGTTTGGGTCTAGGTTCTGGGTTCTGGGTTAGGGTAATGGTTAATGGATAATGGTAAGGGTGAAAGATTAGAGTTAGGATTAGGGTTTGGGGTTTGGGGTTTGGGCTGTGGTTTAGGGTTTTAGGGTTAGGATTAGGGGTTTAGGGTTAACGCTAGGGCAAGGACAGTTCTTGAACTAACAATGATCTTCGAAAACCTCTGTAAATCATCACATCTGGGGCCGTGGCGTGCAAACTGAAGATTCATTTTGTGTGGAAGAGGCAACCCAGGTGCAAAAGACAGAAAAGAGCTCAGGTCTGAGAGCAGAGAGCTTGCGTATGCACCAACCACAGAGAGGCCTGTAGGATCCGGGCTGCAGGCCCTAAGGAGACCCAGGGTTATGGAGGGCTCCCGGGCTCTGGTATGGAGACTAGGGTTGAAGGATCCTTGAGAACTCAACTCCAGATGCCGTATTTACAGGAGGAGCTGGACACAGCCTCCTTGGGCAGCTTTGCTGGAATAGCCACCGTGCAGAGCTACAGCAGCTGGACCTGTCCTGAGGGTTGGGGTAGAGTCTGACAGGTTTGCCCTGGCAGAAGGTGTCTTGTCCCAGGCTGGGGACACGTTCAGGTTCAGACCTCTGGCTTGATATGGGAACTTCCTGTTCTGAGGAGGAGGGGAGGCTAAATGTATATATGGAAGACCTGGAAAAACTGAAGATTCAGCCAAGAGATCCCAAGTCCGTAGGCCATGCATATGGCCAGCAACCCTAGGCAGGCAGCAGCTCAATATCCCACAGTTTACATTTAGCCAGACAATGGCCACACCATTACACACTGGGGCTATGAATGTAACAGGCAGTCAGTGGCCATCTGCCATCTGCAAAGCCCAACCATATAATAGGGCCCGTGGAGGTCTCACTCTATAGCAGGCGTCCTCAAACTTTTCAAAGTGGGGGCCAGATCACGGTCCCTCAGAGAGCTGGAGGGCCGGACTATATGAACTACTAATTCCTACTGTAACACCTCGGCTGCGCTCACTGCCCAAAAAACCTGGCGGGCCGGATCAGACTCCTCTGTGGGCCGCATGTGGCCCGCGGGCCGTAGTTTGAAGACGCCTGCGAGAGGATGGGTGCAGGCTTGCTTTTTGAGGAGACAGAAGCAAGCTGCTGTTCCCAGTCTGAGGGTCCTTGGAGGGAAGCCCTTGTTACCAACACCCTGAGCAGGCATTGCTACAGAAGAAGAGCACGGAAAGAGAATCATTTTAACCCCTTCCTCAGCTCCTGGAGGCGTGGGGGTGCAAGAAGTTTGGGAAATCATAGTATGGGGCAAAGTCACTTCCTCAGAAGGAGCCAGTACCTGCAGTTGAGGGAAGAGGGTTCATATCCTCTCCATGAATTCTGGTCCCTGGCCCCTTACTCACTTAGCTCTAGCTGCCATGTCTTTTTATTTTATTTTAATTTTATTGATTTTTTACAGAGAGGAAGAGAGAGGAATAGAAAGTTAGAAACATCAATGAGAGAGAATCATCGATCAGCTGCCTCTTGCACCCCCCGACTGGGGATGTGCCCTCAACCAAGGTACATGCCCTTGACTGGAATCGAACCTGGGACCTTTCAGTCCGCAGCGGGAGGCTCTATCCACTGAGCCAAACCGGTTTCAGCTAGCTGCAGTGTCTTGATGAGGGGGTATTGGCCCAGGCTACAGAAGGAGTCAACAAAGTTGTCCATGCCTGGTCCAGGGACCTGCCCAGTCCCTTTTGCTTCAGACAGCTGACCTCTATGACCAGTAAGATGGGAATGGAGGAGCCTTGGGAAGCTCAGCCAGGCCAGCTCCAGAGCCCAGCTTCCTCATCCAGACAAGGTCCTCTTCCCCCCGTACCTCCAGGCCCATGATTGGCTGAGGTTTCTGGACACAGCCCCGAGCTGAGAGTCTAGATAGCTGTATCCTGATCCCTGCCAGGCTGGGTCATTCTGTCTTGACATAAGCATGGCCTGGGGTGGGGGCTAGAGGAGTGAATGGGTGTGCGGCTTCTTAGGTTGGAAGCCCAGCCTCCTATCAGCCCATCACCAGTTCCTTCTCATTCTGTCCGGGCGTCCTCCTTGTCTCCCCAGAATGGGACTGAAAATTCCACGAGGGACCATGGCCCAGCCGTTCCTCCACCACAATTCGGGTTAGCCCTCCGGGGCGCAGGAGACCTTCCTGGGTTGGTCGACTCGCAAATGCCGCGTCAATGAGGCGACCAGAGGACGGTGGCGGGCGTCCTCCCCACAGGACTGCAGGTCCAGTGTCGGGGAGCAGGTCCCAGCCCCGTGCGGGGCCGCCACTCGGACGCCGCCTGCGTCCCAATCCGCTGCAGGGACCGCTTGATCGATGCCCGGAGCGCTGCGCACAGACCCAGTCTCCTGCGCACGGGCGACCTGGCGCTCCTGGGACCCAGCACCTGCCTCTCCCTGGCGGGTTTGGCTCGGGCTCCGGAGGGAGAAACTACATAAAAGCGGCCGCTTGATGACGCTCTACAACCGGCGCGAACGCCAGCCGGACGGTCGGGATCGCAGGCCGGCGGGTGCCCACGTCCTCCCCCGACACCGCGGACCTGTCTCCCGCCCAGGCGGGCAGAGGGCGTCCCCCTGGAGCTCTTGGTCAGGGAGCCAAAAAGAACTTGGGAAAAGTTTCGAGAGATTCTTGGGACCA